TCCGATTGACCCGTGGCCACAGGAAGCTTTTCAGACTGGCGTGCCTGGTACCTTTATTGGTTTTTGTCCCTGCAAATTGCAGACATGTATTTGAGTAGAGGTGCATACCTCAAAGCTGCTTAATAGCAAAGTAAACCCAGTTGAAAACAGGCTTTTCACAGTCCTGTTTGAAGTAGTCCACAGATCTTAGGAACTCGGCAATCACAGGCTCAAAACTGTTTCTTGGTGACTCATGAGCAGTGTATTGCAATCAAAACCTTTGAAAATTCTGTTCATGATCACAGGAAATTAAGTTAAAACTAAAACCAACAGAAACGCAATGCACAGCGCTACTCAGGGAGTGTTATGTCTTCATCGTTGTTGTTCTTGGCCCATGGACGATAGGGTATTTGATCGCTGCTCTATAAGCTTTCAGATTGAGAAACTCATTAACAATGTAAATGTAGCTTTGCCTTGCAGTGTATCTTGATCCAAGTTTCAAGTAGGGCTGTAGCCCTCGGCTTTAGTGTGGTCGTGGTTTAATTCATAAAAACTTTGGTCCTTGCAATGTAAAATGGGGAAGCTGCATCAGCTGGAGAGGCTGAAGGCATCTCGGCAATGGAAAGAAGGCAGATAGAGTCAAGCCAGGCTTCTCCTGTTGTGGTAAGGTGAGAAACAGAAGAGCAGAAGCAGTACCTTATCACCCACTACAACTCCCTGAAAGACGGTTGTAGTGAGGTGGGTGTTGGTCTCTTCTCCCAGGTAAGGGGCAATAGGACAAGGGGAAATGGCCTCAAATTGTGCCGGGGAGGTTTAGGTTGGACATTAGGAAAAATTTTTTCACCAAAATGGTTGTTAAGCATTGGAACGGGCTGCCCGGGGAAGTGGTCCCCATCCCTGGAGGTATTTAAAAGATGGGCAGACGAGGGGCTTAGGGACATGGTTTAGTGGTGGGATGGCAGGGTTAGGTTAAAGGTTGGACTTGATGATCTTAAAGGTCTTTTCCAACCTAAATGATTCTATGATTCTATACCCTCAAGGAGTCAAGTGCCACTGGCAGGAATGGGTGGAGCAGAGCCATCAAATGCGATGGTGTGGATGCCACTCCAGCATCCCAGTCGCTTCCCCAACAACAGGTACCAGCAACAGCCAGCAGCTGGCCTTTCCAGTGGTCTGCTGTAGGCAGCAAGGCTGCGGGCTTTCCGCTGCCCCTAGCAGTCATGTCCTTTTTTGCCCCAGCCAGTGGCTCTTTTTGTTGGCCAGGGGCTCTTCTGGCAGCTGCAAGTTACTCTGGTGTGCAGGCAGGACCAACTCTCTGCAGCAGAAGAGAAGCAGACTTAAGTCATGCCATCTACTGTCAGTGATCCCAAAGGTGGTAAACTAGTCTCTTGGCCGAACTATATCATGGTGACATAGAGGAAAAAGAAGAGATGCAAATTCAGGCTAATACAAAGAAAGAAATCTACGACACTTTCACTGTCAAAGTAGATGGATACCTAAGGCTGCAGCATCCAGTATTTTCTCAGCTGTTTCCGCAGAGAACATATTTATAAAAATTTGTTGATTTGATTTGAATCTGATTATTTTGTTTTGCAAGCTTTCGGGTGGCTTATGATGTTACAAAAATGTGAGAAGCGACACATCATACTGAAGAGAAAAAAAAGATGCACTTGGTATCCTGCAATTTGCACAGATTTTCTTTTCCCTTTTAGATAGTTTTAAATAGAAAAAAACATGTTTTAAGACAGGGATTTTTATTTTTTTTTTAATATTAAACTAAAAGGTTTTGGCAGCTGAGAGAAAAATGTGCTTCCGGAAGGAATTCACCTCACTCTGTAATAAGGATCTGGGGTAGGTGAGATTAATTTTCCTCTGAAACTGGCTGCTTTGCACCATCAGTTACAAAAAGACCGAAGGGTGAATAAATTTTAGATGTGCAAAGCTGGATAAGATTAATGCTATCTTTCATCCATTCCAAAATACAGTTGGATTAATAAAACTATCTGGTGCTAATGTACAACCAATAAATGTCCACGTCCCCTGTAACTGAAGAGATTAATAGTTGAGAAGATTGGTCAAGTATGACCAGTGGGTTTTGGTGACTTGATTTGGGGTGCCAATTTGTGTTGACTTAAAGGAACGTGCTTTACAGAGACAGTTCTTCCTTCTGAAAAATGAGTGGTATGATGATATCCCAGACTTGGCTCCCCAAAACTGTGGGCCATCGATAGTATAAGTTAATTTGGAAAGTCTGGTCCTGCATTCTGCAGTGCACAGAAGTCTTCGCAGCTGCATTGCCCAAAGCAAACAGATGGTTTCACCTGCAAGGTTTTGTCTCATGTAAAATTCATGTAGAGAATTGAGAAAGAGTAGTGTGTTTAGGGTTTATTGTTCTGGGTGCTGCTTAGCGTGGTTATTGGAGCAATAACAACCTCAAGCAAACACACCGGAAAAGTCATCCTTACCCAAATGGTTTGAGGAATGCTTCTTGTCTCGGACTGCAGAAGGAGTTAGCTGAAAGATCAAAGCTACAAAGTCTGCCGGAAACATGAAAACCCAATGGTGTGAGACACCATAAAAGGGTTAAAAACGATGATGTAAATCATGTGTGTTGGTTAAAATGCTGTGAAAGCGCAGACAGAACCTGGAGGTATAATAAATAATCTTTGAATACCTGGGAGCCTTGTGGCCTCTTTGCCATTAATCAGAAACCCCAGACTGAGGGATTGGCTGGCAAAACATTAATCATTAAGCAATTAATTCCAGCCGTGAAAACAAAACTTCGTGATTTCCTGAGTAGGTGGGATTGGAGGAGGCATGGCATGTTTTTGCTTTTTCACGTTAAAGGAAATAAAGAAATGCTGAGGAGGTCGTACAATCATCATTCAGATGGGGTAGAAAATCTCCTTTATTATCCAGTTCTTCCCTTCCTTTTTGTTTCTATGAAACAGGAAAAGGGAAAATCACCACAGGTTTTCCTAGGAAGCAGTAATGAGCCTCTTGAGCTTAAACCTTTCTAGATGTGTGACGCTAACAAAAAGGGGCTTTATTTCTCATGTCTTATGTGTTCCTCCAGTTCTCCATAAAAGCATGCTAGAAATACCCTTTTATTCTTCTCACCAGCCTCACCAGCCGTAACAGTTGTCTTGTGAGACTCAGGACATCTGTCTTTTTTTTTCTCTTTTCCTTGAATCCCACTTTTTAATCATTTACCAAGTACCTTAGGATCCTAGCTTTGCTTGCTTTTAGTATTTATATCTATGGAGAAACCTAAAAATGTAAATACTAAAAGCTGAATAATCCAAACACAAGGAAGTGTGTTTGGATTATGTGTACATAGTGATTTTGATTTTCTGTGTCATTAATTTGGCAGATACTTTAATAAGTTCAAGGGACCTAGATTGTATTTTTTTCATATTTAATGTTGGAAATGCTGCTAGAACTGCCACCTGCATTTTTAAACCTGAAACGTACTCATAAGGAAGAATCTTAGTCATGTTTTTCTTGCCATTACTTGGTGGAAACCCGGCCCCCGAAAGGCTGTGAGCACAACTTTACGACCAACTTTGAGAGACCGCCTTTCTGTAATGTACTGCTGGATGGATGGTGAGGCGTGATATAATTAGAAGCTGCCTAAATAGCGACGGGGCTGAGATAATTTGCCTCGTGCCATGTGAGAAGTTCGTGACAGAAACCGACTGTGGTTCTTTGGCTGGAACCTAACGCCTGGCCATCTGCCTCGCCAGGCTGACGGCAGACATAGGGGGGGTGCAACCGCGGGGGCTGTTACCTCAGATCAGCCTGGTTGGGGATTGCAGTGGGCCCAGGACCTTGTTGCTGGCTCCTGAAGGATTATTCATAAGCTTGAGACACCATTTATTTTAAATACGGTCGTTTTCACGGTAGCATTCAAATGCCACCTCCTCCTTGCATAAAACGTGTGGAAGTATCTAGCCACAGGACGTGCAAGGAAAGTGTTCAGCAAAATAGATGTCAGAATTTGTGTGTTCCCTGTACCTCAGCATACCCTTTCAACTGTAAAGGCGTGTCATCAAAGCCAAGGGTTTTACAGAAATGAGTATGCTGCCTTCACTTTGCGTGGCAATGAGATACCTTTGCATACAGCGGTTTCCTTTCATCAGGCGGCATCTGAGAGTTTACGTAGACAATCCATAATATTTACCTCATCCTCTGCTCAGAGGCAGTGTATGGCAAAACTCAGTTTGTATATCTGTATGTTAATTAGTTAAAAGATTGCCATCCTCTTTGGAGATACAGTTCCTGCCATAGGTGTAACAAAACCCCAAAGGTTAAAGTATATTCAGTTTTGAGAACATGTTCAGCTGGGCAGAAGACAATATATACTGAGAAACAGAATGTTTTGTACTTGTCCATTATGTCAGTCCCGTTACAGAGAGCCAATTGCAACAGTCCCTAGCTAAGCAAAACGCTTCTCAAGAGCAGAATCTGTCCGGCACAGATGGCTCGAATTCATGGGTTGCTGCTGAGATTCTAACTGTGATTATTCTTCATTTCCTCCTTCTTCCCTCGACTTGTGAATTAGTCTCGTCTGAGGAGACAGGATGTCGGCTTGAAAAGCCACCTGGATCAGCTAGACCAGCGAATAAGCGAGCTGAAATTGGACGTCAGTAAGACCTCCAGTGAATACTTGGATAGTGACAGCCGGCCCAGCTCAGGTAATGTGCACTTGGTCGTTTATTCCCAGGGGTGTGGTGCTAGGAGGACTGCAGGGTGTCAGCTGCTGAGCAAAACTCTCCCTGTTGTTCGGTCAGAAACAGTGCCCCGTGGCTGAGGTGGAGAGCTCTCATCTGGCCCAGAGCACACTTACAGAGCTGGTGGGAATTTTCCTGCAAAGTTGATTGAGATGGAAAATGCTTATTCACCCAAACAGTATTTTTTCTGGATTTTTTTTTTTACTTTAAAATGGACATTTTAGCCAAAAATGGGAGGAGGAGGAGAAGACGGGTTTATTAATTCATTACCTTGTGCAGTGCAGAATGACCATTGGCAAAGTGGCGAGAGTACTTACTAGAAGTGAAAGATACCATCATCCACGTCAGTGCTCTTCTTGGATCCAGGAAGGGTCCTGAACCTCCCTAAGGCTTAGAAGATCACTACCACTGCAGTGCTCTGGCCACATGAATGTTTGGTCATTTGTATAAAAATGAAACAGCTCTGTCAAAAGACACTGAGGAAAACCAGCCCAGCAATTTGCTGACTAAAGCTCTTCTGGACAGAAAGAGATTGAGTTCCAGGTTTCTGGTCTGATTGACAGAGCATGCTGTACTGCAGACTTTTATAGATAGGATGTCTGTTAAAACCAGTTTCTGTTACCTAGTCTGGGACAATGGGAATACACCTTTTTAAACAGAATTTTTAAAAGCCTTAAGTCTTCAGTGAGACACGGAAAGATTTTTTTTTTTTTTTTTTTTATTTACAGCATACAGATTTGCAGACCAGTCCTTAGAGTGGGTATAAAAAGTGCAAATTCCTGTTGAGCATTGAAGTTCAGGAGTTGTGCACTTAGGCACATAGACACAGTTCAAAAGGAAGCAGCTTCCTTTTCTGTTTGCTTCACATAGAGAGGAATAATAAAAATTCCTATCTTGAATTTATACAGAGCCTTTATTAATACTTACATAATTAATTGGCAGCGATCACAAGACCTGGAGAGGGAAGATAGCCCCCATTCTCTGCCCTTAGACATTCCAGCTATCATAGACTTGGCAGCTCTGATCACAAGCTAGTTTTACTGTTCTTTCCCAGCCAATCTGTGCTTGTATGCACCCAGCACAAGTTACACCAGTGTCAGACAGCCCTCCTTTACACCATTTGCATAATAGTCCCCAAAGACGTTCTCCAGTGAAGAACTGGGTGTGATGGTGCTGCACTTCTTCCCATCCCACCCTCAGAACTAAGCATGCATGTGCATGCCGAGTAAATATGCACAAGCCCAATAAAAGGTGGTAGAATTTTACTTCTGCTAAAGTTACCCAGAGAAATGATCGTGAATTTAGGCTGGTGGCACATAGCAAATGAAGATTTATTTTATTCTCTGCATTTTTCTTCTACAGAGCATGTTTAGTTACTGTAAATAAGAAATATCTTCCTATTTATTTTAACTCTGAAGGCTTCTATGACCTGAGCGATGGTGGTTCTTGCTCACTCTCCAATTCCTGTACCTCTGTGTACAGTGAGTCCATCTCCTCCTCCCACACCAGTCTCTTGCCTGGCTCTCAACACCCTAAAGCGCGGCTCAGTGTGTTTGATTACCGACCCAAGTCTGCAGATGAAACTACTGTGCACGCCACCAGCTTCCAACAGCAGGGAACCTATGTCAGCGATGGATGTCGGATTACAGCTGGCACGGACATTTCTGAAACTGCTGCCAGGTCCCGACCGAGGCCGGTTTCCACAGGTAATCAACTACAGAACTGGATACTCATTCAAGAGGAGGGCAGAATGCTGGTTATTACTTTTAGGACCTAATATACCAATGTGTAATAAATATACAGCATTCATTTTCAATACACAAAGTGAGAATTAATCCGAACCACAGAGCCAAACTGTTCACTGTCCAACTTTCACTTGTCTCCATACTCGGATACTTTTAAACAGCAACAAATGTGAGGGCATATGCATTTAGAAATAGAAAAATGTTTAAGTACATGAGATAAAATTGTAATGAATGTTGAGATCGGTTTTTTAACTTACCTGCGGTATTTGAAATACCTTCTGTGAAGGTGCAGGGATGTATGAAAAATATAAGGTGAATTCAAAACTAGAGGGAATGCATTTTACTGAGAAAGATTTTACAGAAATCTAAGGAGAAAGAGACACTTCCAGACTTAGTGCCTGTTTTCTCAATCTGTTGTAAAATGAGTATGATAATACTTATATATACCTTGCCCTATTTATTCAAATTAATGTGGACTCAAACAATACGCTTTTTCATAATTTATTACATACAGTTAGGGATAACAGACACCAAAGGTGAATTGACTGTCTAGGAACCAATCATGAGCCTAATAGTGGATCAACCATGAATTTGTATCTTACCTTTAGACAAAATGGACAAGTCCCCATGAATATTCCCGATCTCTTGTTTACTGATCTGTGAAGTGACATCATATCACTTCTTATTTTGGGTCCTTCCATGGCCTCAAAGCAACCTTGTGTTAGTGTAGTTTGTATGGTGACCCAACCAGATGTGTGACAGTTCCATTATAGAAACAGGGAAGCCATAGGGAACATCATTTCAAGTACCGTGTCACCCTGAAGTCATTCCCACAGTGTCTTGACCTGAGCTAGCTCACCTCTGGCTTTTGTGGAGCAGAAGCAAAGGCCACCTGCTCTGTACCTTTGTACACAGACACACCTGAAGCAATGGTGGTAAATTGTAGCATAAAAGCAGAGTCTTCTCAAGGCTTCTTGGGGGCTGGGGATGGAGCTGAGCTCAATAATCCATGGCTTCCATGTTCAAATTACCAACTTCTTGTTCTATCAGAAACTTTCCTGCCTTGCAACATTTAGCTAAAACCCTGGGGGCTTTATGGTTTTTTGGATATGGAGATAGCCTAGCAGAAAAACAGATAGCTGATGTTAAGTAGGGGTGCGGGAGTGAGGCTACAGACCTCCTTCAACCCTCCTTCCTTTTGCCGCCACCACCACCTCCCTTCTTCCTGGCCACAACCTCTTACTTCCTTCAGTGTGAGAAACATAAGTCGTGGGTGTAGTCTTGAAGAAACAATTCTTGCAAAATTGACCACATTGCAGGAAGCCGGGCAGGATGTTACTTCAGAAAAGCATCATTTGGAGATGGGAATAAATTTCTCTTTTCCTCTCTTTACCTTGTCCCCACAGGTAACTGCAGGTACAAACATTGCCTTTTCTTTCAGTGGCAAGCGGAAAGCTTGCTGAGACACTACAAGCACAGGATTCTTTTGATACCTTCCTGGTTTATTTGCACAGGAGAGCACCACTACACACTGCCAACAATTCCCTACAGAATTTTCATTATGAAAATAATATTGTTTGAGAAATGATCATCCTAACATTTGCTGTAGCAAAGTAAGTGTAAGTAAGTGCCTTAGGTAGGACACTGCAGACAATGGCAAATTTTGAAGTCTTCCAAAAGCTTCCTGCCACAGGACAGAAATAGTCACTGTGAGTGAAATATGTGGTTGGATTTGCTGGTTGGGTTTCCTGGAAGCATGAAGCAGCCAGGAAATCAGTTAGCTGAGGCTTTGTTTGGCACTGAAGTCTGCACTGTTGTACAAAGCAATCCAAGCTAACTGCAGATGGTTCCAGTACTCCTAGTACCAGGGGTAACACAGCACCATAGCGCTCTATGGGATGACTTGTCTGAATGGAACATTTACTTCACACAAGAACACAGCCTGTCCTCTCAGTGCACAGGAGATGCTCCTGAGAGAAAGGTGCAGCAGTTGAGTGTAACTTACAGCAACCTTGACAGTGCTCCAAAATTTAAGAGATCTGAATTGGTGGCCATAAATGCCATTTTCTGGGACTGAGCCTCCCATCTGCCTTTGATTTTTTTCCCTGCCAAAGTAAAAGCTCTTTAGTCCCTTCCACATCCTTAAGGTTGACTTTTAAAAACCCTGCACACAGAATTTTTTGCCATTTAATAAAACCTCTGAATATTTCTTTCTGGAATTGAATACTGTAAGAAGTTACTTAATTGAGAAAAGCATGAGACTGGTAATGTTGTTATCAAATGAAATGAGAGATCCAGTTAGGAGGTTTCACTGGGTTTGGGGTTAAGGAAAAGTAGAATCACGTCACTCTCTGGGCTATGGGACACATGAGTCTTAATGGGGCTCTCGTGTGCATTGAGCACTTCTGTTTGCTAATGCCTTACTAAAGCCAGATGCAAAAGAATAAACAACTACAGCTTCCAGCATTTAAGAGGTTAAGAAACACTGTAGCCTAGTGTCTGCTTAAGTCCTCTTAAAGCAGCTGGTTGAGTACTATAGATTTTTCCAAGACATGTGAAAAGGGTTGGAGGAAAAGCTGGAATTCAAATTTAACCACTTAAAAAAAAATACCATTGACTCTGCATGCTGGAAATGTCAGGAATTTCTGAGTTAGTCATATATCCAGAGGAAGTCTTTATCTTATCCTGGGGTAAAAGTCTTCAGAAAGTGTATCTGTTGTATTGGATAATTTTACATGACATTCAGCTTCAGGCTTTCTGGTTGTTGATTCACTTTTTATCTCTGCTAAGAAATAAAAATAATCCCCTATTTTTGTTTAGTTGGTTGGGTTCCTGTTAGTCTATGACATTCTAGAACATTTTTATGTATGCACAGATTTACTTTCATCCAAATAGCACAGTTTAAATTTCCTGCAAAGGGGTGAATTTTATTATTGGCATTAAAATACATTCTAATCTCTGTTATGCTCAGGTGAATAAAAGCCTTGAAGTAATTCAGTGATCTTGGAGGACTGAAACTATTTTCATCATTCATGCTACTGATTTTAGTAAAAGCTAGCACATCCTTCTGAAATAGCACTTTTAGCATAAGCCAATTTGAATGTAATTGTCTGTGATTTAATTAGGTTATTTATTTTCATCCACTGCGTAGGTGACTTGGAAAGACTCATTCCGGCAGACGCTAGATTTCAGAAAGAGACAGATCCCAAATCCATGTTGCCTCTGTGCCATACTGGAGACATGCACTTGCTCAGCGTGGACCCCAAATTCCAGAACGACTTGGTCTCCAAGAATGGCATTGATGTGTATCCTTACCCAAGCCCCCTTCATGCGGTGGCTTTACAAAGTCCCCTTTTCTCCCTGGTGGGGACATCCCCAGAAGGAGACCTCCAGGCTCCTCCCAGCAAACCCATGCCTAGTGCCACGGGTCCCAGCTTGATTAGGACTAGGCCAACCGCTGAGGCCAAGCCAGGGGGTTACATCAATAAATTACTGCAGCTGACGAGATGCAAAGGGAACAACCGGGCTGATGCCAGTGAGTGGGTTTCAACAAAGAGCCAGCCAGCCACAATGCACCAGAGACTCATTATAACCCCGAGCATCGGCGGAGTGAAAATTAACAGCAGCAGTAGCCAACTGGAAAAACAAGCGAGTTCTCTGGAAAGTAACAAAGCTGAAGGGAAGCTGCAGACAGAGGTGCCGGAGGGGGAATGTGCCAAGCAGCAGGAGACTATGCACTGTGTGAATGAAGAACAGCCATCCCCTCGGCCTGACGCAGAGCCATCAGCTGTGAATAGTTGTTACCCTGCCAAGTCAGCAGCAAGGGGCTCTCCTCTCTCAGAGGCAACGGAGAGCAGCGTGGAGCGCAGTTCATCCTGCTCGCAGCTGTGCCAGGAGGACTCCAGCCCGGGCACCTGGAACCCTAAAGCTGTCCCACCCAGAAAGCTGCCCCTCAAAAGGTGTGGCAATGCCAAACTGGCTAATGCCGGCTGTCACGAGCGAGTGGCACGGGGTGAGTTCGTTCATGCTCAGTTCGTCCCTGCAGAATCCCACCAAGTCCGGGTCAAGTTTGCCAGCTCCAAAACAAAGGCAGTGAAGATAAAGAGGAGGAACAGTGAAAAGGTGCTACGGCCCGGGAAGCAAGCCTTTTGCATGGAGAAGGCAAGGGGGTCCCATGGGGCTGCCAGGCTGCCTGCGGAGTGGAATCAGCCCCAAAGACCACCGGGAGCGAAGAGCCTCGTGCGGAGACCTTCGTATTCCGGTGACGTGACCGGCAGGTCGTGCTCGGAGTCTAGCCTGTTCCCTGTGCCAGTCAGGCTCCCCGCCGTGCCGTCCAGGCCAGAGCTCTACAGAGCCTCTGCCAACGCACTGTATTCCCTTGAAGCAGCTTGCGCCGGCAAGGAGGGCTGGTGTCCTGCGCACTGTCAGCATGAGGGCTCGTCCCAAGAGTCAGCGCCACGGAGCTTACGCCAAAAGTGAGTCGGACCACTCCGAGTACTCTGCAGAGTGCGCTTCCCTCTTTCACTCCACCATCGCAGAGACCAGCGAAGGGGAGGTCAGCGATTTCACGGCGAACCGTTTTGGGGACAGCGAGTCCAGTGAAAGCGATTCGGATGGCAGCAGCAACAGTAGCAGCCTTGCCCTTGACTATGATGAGGGGGATGAAAGTGAGCTGATTTGGCCTGAAGGTTCGGTCAGACAATCGGGGGCTGTCCAGGCCTCTTCCAAGCCTCTTCCCCCAGTGCCCAAAATCTGTCGCATCAAAGCTTCGAAGGCACTAAAGAAGAAGATTAGGAGATTCCAACCAGCCTCTCTGAAGGTCATGACCATGGTTTAGGGGAGAGCGAGCATCTGTTTCTTACAGTGAGACATCCTGCCGGCTCTTTTTTGCAAAACAAGAGAACCCATGTGCAGAGAAAAAGACTTGCTTAAATGAACTGTGAATAACCCCAGAATCAACATGAGGGATCTTGTTTGTTAATGCCTGGACATAAATGTCACTGTATCTAATTTCCTCTTTTGCCACTTATTCTGTAAATATGGATCTGTGTATATTGTGTGATGCCTTTTTTTTTTTTTTTACTACGCAGAAGGGTCACCATGGTGAAAATGAAAAAAAACCCTCTGCCATAAGATTTTACTGGCAGGCTCTTGATGGTTTGTTGACCATGTGTACCCAGAGAATCAGTCCCAGACACCAAGGCTTCCCCAAAAGAGGGCCTCTCCCCAGCTGGGTATTTGCTAGCATCCCTCCCTCTTATGAGGAACTCCTTACAGTCTGAAGTCTGCATTAACCATCCAGCTGTCACTGTGCTCATATGGAAAAGCTCTCAGTGCTTTCCGTAGTTTACTTTACTTTCTTTCCGATCAACCATCCCATACCTTCTCCCAAACATCAGGAGGATGAGTCCATTCTTCTGCAAAAACACACTATGTTTAATCAAGAAGGCAAACGTATTTGTGAATGAGAAGAAGACTTGAGTTTGTTTCCTGTTTTCAAAACTGAGGGTACAGGGGGTTTTTTTCAAATGCCCTCTTTATGATGTTCCATGTTATTGTTCATTTGTTGAATGGGTGAAAGAACATGAGGGCTCAGTGCCACAATGTGTGAATAGCTGGGACTGAGATTATAGCTTTGCCCCTGAAATTACAAACTCAATAAATACTATTTAATGTACTTCTGAAAATTGTGCTTGTCTGACTTCGATGTCTAAAGAAAATTATTCTGTACTCTAACGTCACGTCAGGGATGTAGAGCAGCTTTCTTATTTTTCAGAGGGTTGCTATAGCTCAGTCAGAACCAGGGTCCTTTCAGCCTCTACCTCAGGAAACCTGCTTCAGCACCTGCTTCTAAATGAGTGAATTTAAAAACAGTGTTTGTACCGAGGACAGAGTAGTGTTTAACTGACTCACTTAAACTGATGCAGTTTTGTCACAAGAACTCTTAATTTAAAATACATATTTATGTATACATAATGTGTTTTGAATGCATTTGAGGGCACCTATGTGAAGCTTTGAATCGGTTGCTTAACTGATGAAGTGATGGTTTTGTGTTCAGACAAGCAGCCCTAACTCTTTCCTCTGAGCACAGCAATCTGGAAGCTGAGCTGAAGTTCACCCTGTGTTTACCGAAGAGCAGGTTTTATCCTCCCACCCTGTTTCAGCGCCCAATCTGAATACATTCCTGGCCTAGGAGATGTAGGCATTACCTCATTCAGCCTGGTGTACTGGGTCTGAAACAAAAGGCAAGTGCTTTGCAGAAACTGTGGGTAAAAGAGTGCTTGTTTACTCCAAGGATTCATTAGCAAACAGAAGTATTGAAAGACTAAACTTTTAGCCGATGCCTTCTATTCATTGGAAGCTATGTTATGTTTTTAAACCACTCTTATTTTCAAATCATTTTTGGAAAATGAGGGAGAGAAAAGTAAAAGTTACATAAAGTAATTTAATTCAACTATTCAAGCTAGTGCATAGCACCATCCTTACTGCAACTAGAAAAATACTACATTTTAGTCAGTGGAATGTGTTTAAGCATTTTTTCATGGTCTCAAGAGTATGGGACGTTATCACTCTGGTAGGATTAATGGGAGAATTTCACAGGTCTGATCGTGGTTTCTTGTTCAGCATGTCTCGCAACAGAACAAACAAAATAGTGATTTATGCCATGTTGACTTTCTACACCACAAAAGGATTCTTTTTCCCATTTAATACAAAAGGTTTGATTTTGGGGGAGTGTGTCAAAAGTTACATATGAACACTTAATCCATGGATTTTCTGTATTGGGGTGGGGTTTATTGGTTAGATAGAGATTTTGAAGGTGTTCTTTTCAGGGGGGAGGAAACTGTTCCTAACGAGAAAGCTGCTCTGGGTAGGAGCCTTCTGAAACCTGGTAAAACCCGCCACCCAGTAGCTCCCTGCCCTTTTATCAGAGTAAGCTCAAACAGTAAGTTTGTGGTCCCACAACTCAGTAAATCCTGCTTTAGGGCTGTTAATACTCCACCAGCAATGTTGCCAGACACATGATGAAAGTGCTGATCCAGAATGAACTCACACTGCCAATTCAAATCAAGAAAAATGATGACCTAATTTTGTACTGACAGATTTTATGCCGGAGGAGGTATCACTGCCTCTGCAGCTCACACTTTCTGCCACGTCAGATAACGTCTCTCCTCACAGAGCCAGCGTAAAGCCAACGTAAAAGCAGAAAGCTGGCACAGACGTCATCATCCTGTGCCTTGGCTGATTTGACAGAAATAAGCTCATGTGCCCACAGTTGATCCATGGGAAACCTGTCGTGCTGGAGAACCCCAGCAATGCAGAGAACCTGCTGTTACGTGTTGAGGCATCACCATGTGCAGTGATGCTACCGAGCTGCTACCGAGCTGCGTGACTTTCTGGGGAGGGTGGAACGGGTGGTGCCACCCCTCCTTCCTCCAGGACATTGGACCTTCTCCCCGGCACTGCCCTTCAGAAACACTGCTGGTCCTCCCTGCGCTGGGACCAGAGCTCTGGAGGGAAGAAGTAGGGCAGGGCAAAGCAGGGCAGGAGGCTCAGGTGGCTGATACTCCAGCTATACTGGCACCAAAAATATGATTGTTGTTCAGTACACTGGCAAAAATTAGTATGTTTAGCATGAATACTAGGAATTAGCATGAATACTGGGAATTTTTATAACAACTGGGTACAAGTGTGATGCCTGTCGGTGCTCTGTCAGTTGGAGACTATCGGCTAGCTCTGCTGACAGCACTCAGGAATACCTGCTGCCTAAGCAAGCAGATCTGAAATATATTGAAAATCAACAAATATCTATAAACACTTTGATGCACTATTCTTTTATAAGTATATACTAAACACCATAAAAACCAGCTTGCAGCTCCATATGAAGCCTCATAGTGAGAATTGGGGATGCCCGACTTTACTCGTGGTCATGGCAATACAAAATAGAAATATTCACTGTCAATTTTCCCTTCCAGAAGGAATCCACAAAATCTTTTTACCTTGCAACATCCTGTACTGTAAAGGCCTAAGAGAACATGGAAAAATGTCAGTCGGTGATTCAATTAGAAGTCTAGCACCAAACCTGATACACTTCAGGAGTGAGAGGTTTAGCACTTTCGCTGTGCCTTGATTAGCAAGTGTATAGATCTGAGGGCTGTTTCGGAACAGCTTTATGCAGTGTCTCTGTTGCAGGAGCTAACATCTGTCATCATCGCTCCAAGCTCTAGTGAATCAAAATCATCCACTGCTGAAATCTATGCACCAGATCAGCAGTTTCCTTCTGTCAAAGGCAGACATTTACACTTCGGTGTAGGAGCAAATTGCTCCTAAACCACAAAGGAAAGAAAAGAAAGGAGAAAAAAAAAAAAAAAGAGAATAGAAAGGGAATTAAGGAAGCTTTAAGAGCAGTTTGCAGAATGATCAGAATTTTAAAACTTCATTAATCCTTTTATTGCTCTAATAATTTTGGAACTGGATAATTACCAGCCTTCTTGGCCTTGACACAATCTTGGATTTTTCAAGTCCACATCCAGTACCCAAACCATGGGATAGAGTCAGAGAACTGATGTTTTCTTGGAGACACCATCCTTCAGACCATTCCTTCATTTGAAGTGACTTCTTGTCAGGCAGGGCCCTGGTCAAAAGAAAGGCAGTTATCGTGTGGTAAGTCTCAAAACCAGCTACAGATGATTTTCATGCTGGTGAACTTGAGTCTGGTGGACATTTTAAGGCTGTGCTGGAGTCTGTTTTGTATTTGCTTACCAGTCCTGGTCTGAAGCTCTGAAGGGGTTAGAGCTGAAGGTGAGAGGTGCTCCAGGAGCAGCTGAAAGGCAAGCGATAGCAGTGGCTGTTTGGGAAGCCTGTCGCTGTCCTACGCAGGCTCAGCGTGGCACCGGGCATCTCTGGCACTTCCAGCCCCCGCAGCCTTTGCTAGCTTCTTTATCACTGCTAGGACCTTAACCCAGCCCCACCGCTGCTCCTGTGGCAGTGCTGGGATGTGCAGCTGGGATGCTGCACTTGGAATAGTCACAGGCCACCTGCACCCAAAGCCGCAGGCCAGTCACTCCTCAGCTACAAGGTCAAGGAGCACCCCAGCCCAGAGTCCTTCCAGACTACCAAATGCATGGTCCCCAGCTAGGCAAAGATTGCTCAAAGGAAGCATGCAGCAAAACAAGGCATCTGTGACCGCTGTCTCTGGCAGGGACCGAGACAACAGCATGCCAGGGGAAGGGCTGCCAACTTCTACTCTGAACCAATAGCAGCAGCTTTCATTTTCAAGCCCCTTTTGAGCCCTCCTCAACCACTCTGAGGCTGAAGGGATGACCCCAGCTGTGCTCGGTGGAAGAGAGTAGCTCAGCTTTTAACTACAGCAGCCCCTTTGCCCCCCGCACCGCAGCAAACGCTTTGGCTCCTGCAGAGAGCTGTAGTACCTCTTGCTCCCTCGCCACTAACTCAGCCCTCCTTGCTGAACTTGCTCCCCAGGAGGCTGCCCTGAGACGAGCAGCTTGAATGACCATGTGAAGGAAAAAAAAATATGTTAATCTGGAAAACACGAAGTGCTATGTCTGAAACTTGGCTGTGAGGAATACAAACGTGCAGTGACACCAATCCAGCGTTTAGGCAGAGTCTCCCATATCTTACACGGGTGTGAAGGAGACCTGGGATCCCACCATTACCTGCTGCTCTGTACAGACAGCTACTGTGATACTTCAGCTACAGGCGAAGAGCAATCAACAGGAAAATGCTTAGCTAAGGGCCACTTTTTGAGGTTTTTACTTCTCAGGTTTAAAACCATCGCAGTATGTCTAATTATACTGCAATGCAGAACGTCAGCAGAAT